GAAGTTAGTATTTTCAAACCAGTTGAGTCCAAACAAAGCACCACAATTCAAAAATTACACTTTAGAAGGTAATAAAAACCATTGCTTTTTAGAACCGATTTTTATTTTTTGTTTTTAATTTTGACGTTAGATTGTTATTAGGTGTAACATGCGCATGCGCATTATACATTTTTAAATTCCAAAGTAAACCCCATATTTTTCGATTTTTTACAACCAAAATAAAAAATACACAGTTTGGTAACCATGTTTGTTGGTACTCTATTATACCTATAGTACATGAAATTTTGTTTATTTTACTTTTACAAAGATTCTTAGTTTGTTGAAGGTTACTGTTTGTATATAATCGTCAGGCCTCATTCGAGAGAATTCGTTTTTTATATTTGTATAGTATATCCAACAAAAACCTAACAGTGAAAAAGGGCCAAGTACAAGACCCCCTCCAAAAAAAGGTCAGCCTATCAAAGTAGTGATATCTATATTGTGGCCAAGTCTGCTATTACTTTAGTCCATAGCCTTACTTCACTCCTGCTTTCATGAGCAACACTGCTGTTTTATTTGTATTGCCTAACACTTGGCTAGTTTTTGAATGAAACCTAAAACATCATTATCAAATATATTCACTTAGGCGTTACGTGGTTGATAGGAAGAAGATAACTTAGAAGAAAAGAAAAAAGGTTCAGATCCCCTCCCAAAAAGTCAGTCAAAAAGTAGTGTTATCTACATTGCGGCTAAGTATTTTTTAGGCCTCATTCGGAAAGGTCATGTTTCATTCAAAAACTGGCCAAGTGTTAAGCAATACAAATAAAAGAACAGTGTTGCTCATGAAAGAAGGAGTGAAGTGAGGTTATGAACTAAAGAAATAGTAGACTAGGCTACAATGTAGGTATCACTACTTTGAAAGGCTGACTTTTTTGGGAGGGGGTCTTGTACTTGGCCCTTTTTCGCTGTTAGGTTTTTGTTGAAGATATCATTCCTTAGTCGGAGCATTTTGAAAATTGGGAACAGAGAGCCGCGCAGTTAATTCACGTAATGATTTGGCTCTAATACAATTTTTCTTAAAAAAGCGGCACTTACTATTTTTTTACGCTTAGAACGAACAAACGAATTCTCCGACATAAAATAACACAGGTGAAGAGTATATAGACTTAATTGAATAACGATATTAGAACGATTATTAACATATTCTGTATTTGATGACCGATAAATTAAATAAAATACAATAAAATTACAAAACATTATGTTTGATAAGAATTTACTGTCAACTACAAACAATTGCATATTGTTATAATGTAACACTAAAAGTGAACGTTTGCTTTGACGGCGCGGGAATGTGTGATTACTTAATAAAAACCTGTGCTAATATAATCAAGCAATATTCATGCCGTCACATCATGCATTTAGATCTGCACTCCCTAAAGCAGCATTAAATTCGAAAGAATTGCAACTTCCAGAAATGTCCCTTCAGTTACACTTAAAGATCTGCCTTTGTGCCAAATTTCACGTTTCTACTTATACAAGAAGTGTTTTATAATTTTGATGATGAGTGAGCGAGTGAGTGAGTCAGTAACAAAATTGAAAACTTTGAAATTCTCCCCTTTTGAGAAGGCTTACTATTAATGGCTCAATTTTTTACAGTATCCTAAGCTACTTGAGTTTAATCTACGTTTTAAATTTCAAAAACTCATTTTAGGAGGAAACAGAGAAATGTGGGTTAGAAAAACTTAGTGAATTGGTTCGTGTAAAGATACACTAGCATTGCTGGAACTTGGCCTGGCGCACTGCCGTGCGCTCAAATCTGTGCATAATATAACTTTTTAATTACTTCGTCAGTATTTTACAATATATTCAATTAAAGTTTAATTTTAGTTTCTATGTGGATCTGATTACAATGATATGTATTTTTTAGTCTGTGTCCGCCGTAACTTGTTTTTTATATATATATCACACACATTTTTATTTATTTGGTACTTTGGAGAGTAAAAGTTTAAAAGGTTTACTCCTTCGCCAAAAATAAAACAGTACATTAAGGCCAAGACAGCTTAAATAAGATGGAGCACAGTGGGGCCGAAAAGGTTACAGGACAGTGATAAAATCACTTTTAAATGATCGCTCCGATGCGTTTCTATGGATAGTAAGTTCAAAATTGTATAGTGCAAACCAAGTAGAGTATAAACCAGCACAGTAAGGAAGTATTAATATGAAGTGCAGTGTCCACACAGTCGCAGAAAAACGTTTTATCACCTTTAGTTATTTTAATTCCTGTAGAACTGTGTCCTACCCATCCCCACAATACTTTTAAAATTATTTTCAGTTAAAATAATAGATATAGACAATTTTTTAACGTTAAAATACGTTAATATTTCTTTAATGTAATATTTAGCTGATTTTTTTCAACTTAAAGTATAAACAAAAATATGAATTTTGTACCAATAGATCGGCATAGACCAAAATTTAATGCAAATTATTTTATGCAAAACATTAAAAGAAAATGTTCTCGTCACTGTAATGAAAATAAGTAGTCATGCAGAAAAAAAGAAAACACCCGTTAGCCACCCATGTAAACTAACAAAGGTACACTGCCAAAAATATTTCGATTTTAATGTTTTGGCCGATTTGAGCCCATAGACAAAAGGCAATAAAATCATATCAATATAGTTAATAAAGCTGATCATTTAAAAGTTTATTAATCTTTATAATTTATGTAAGTAACACTATCAATTTTAAGAGTTGTGCAAATTGTTATTTGAATAAAAACGTATTCGAATAAAATGTTTTTGGTATCATTATTACACAATGTTCTTGAATATAAAGTTATTTGAATAAAAAATTCTTCCTATATTAAATGGTTTTACACATTTTTTTAAATTTAGAATATATTAGATGTATACAAAATAATATTTTTAAAACAAATTCAAATTATTAAATTATTTGAATACATTTTTATTCGAATAAATGAATTCGACATTTTTAAAATAATTATTTTTTTTAATTCTTTGAATAAATGTACTTGAATAATGTGATAAATATTGAGAAAGTTTTTTTCAAATGATGCAACAATGCAAATAATTTAAGCAAAGTTTAAAATCAGTTTTTCCTTAGATGCGTTGTTTAGATATAGAATTGCATTTTATTTTTTGAAATTTAAATACTACTTCCAATTTTTTTTATTTTTATATTTTTAATAACGTATAAAGTAAAAATAAAATTATAGAAGTGTATTTAAAATAAAACACATGTTTAGAAAATGAATGGTAATTACAGTTTGTTATACCGTATATTTGTTTAAGAGTGTGGTAAAAACAATTAATCAGTCCTATTCAAAAGCTTAAAGGACCTTCTCATATTTTTTTAAGTGTCAATTAACGACGTTCACATATATTTTTTTTTTTACCAATACATAGATAAATAGCTAATACTATCTTTAAATTTATTTTTTTTACAGATAAAAATGAAACTCTTTTGGATTTTAGTAGCATGTGTCATTGTAAATGTTTCAACAGACGAACTAAGTAACTATTTTGTTTTCATGCTTATGTATTTGATTTAGATAACGACTTACGGTAGTAGATTATTTAAAAAAATTAATACTTCTCTTTTTTTTCAGCGGATTATAAAAGATCCGTTTCAGTTACAAGTCAGTTAAATTTTTGCTTTATATAAATAACGTTTTTATATATATTTGTTTAAATTATGTATTACAGACAACCACTTAGTGCTTGCTAATGAAAGGTTTTTCACTGTCGGACGAGCTCGTGAACGTAGAAGTAAGATAAATTTTAATTTAATTTCTTCTTCTTTACTAAAGGCCTTGCCTTGTCGTTGCAAATCTGTTTCACCATTCTTCTCCGTTAAAAGCCAATCTTTTCATGTCCATGTATCGACTACAGTCAGCTTGTCTTATCATTTCTTCTATATATGCCTTCCTCGGTCTGCCTCTACCTTTGTGTCCATTTATTCGCCCTTCAAATATATTTGTCATAAACGAATTATGCCTAAGTAGGTGACCGAACATTTTTTCACTTTTTTTTTTATGGTGTTTAACAGAATTCTTTTTTCGCCTACTTGGTGTAATACATCTACGTTACTTTTCATTTCTGTCCAGCTGACTTTCAGCAATCTTCTCCATGTCCACATTTCATTGGCTTCCAACTTTTTTTTGTCTTGTCCATTGATGGTCCATGTTTCACAGCCATATAATAGTACGCTCCATACGTAGCATTTGATAAAATTTTTTCTCATCTTTATATTAAGTTTTTTGTTTGTAAGTAGCTGCTGTTTTTGCATAAATGCTCTCTTTGCCATAGCTATTCTTTGACTAATTTCTATTGAGCATCTACCATCGCTTGTAATCGTACTTCCTAGGTACTTAAATTGTTGGACTTGCTCTATTAAGTTATTATTTATTTCCAACTTCACTACAGGAGTTTCTTTTGCCTTAGTCACCAGCATTGTTTTAGTTTTATTTGCATTTACTTTCATTTGATATTCCTGCAATATTTTAATGAGGATGGTTAGAGAGTGTTGAATGTCTTTTTCCGATTCAGACACTAAAGCAATATCATCTGCAAATCGTATACATTGGATCTTTTCCCCATTTATGCTTATCCCTTTAGAGTTTCTCTTATACCTGTCTATGATTTCTTCTACAAATAAATTGAACATATAAGGAAATAAGGAACAACCTTGTCTTACCCCTTTTCTAATTTTTGCTGTAGTACTTTGTTCTCCTACCTCTATTAAGGTCTCTTGTTTCTTGTATAGTAACATTATTACTCGTCTGTCCATCCAATCTATTCGTGTTTTTTACATAGAGTTTATCAATTAAGCCCAGTTAATTGTGTCAAAGGCTTTTACTAAATCAATAAAAGTTTTAAATGTATTTTTATTTACATTTAGTCTTCTTTCCGTGAGTACCCTTAAAGCTAAAATTGCTTCTCTTGTACCAATTCCCTGTCTAAACCGGAAATGATCTTCATCGAGCTCTTCTTCGATTTTCTTCCTTATCCTAGACATATTATTCTGTAATTCTTGCATTCTGTGGAATTTCTTTTTTTAGGGATTAGTACAATTTTGCTTTTGGCAAAGTCCTCTGGAATGTTGCCATCCCTATACATTTTCTCAATCATTTCAAATAGCTTATACTCGGTATCTTTTCCAACGTTTTTTAATAATTCTGCCGGGATGTCATCTACTCCTGTCGCTTTACCTTGTTTCAATTCACTTAATGCTTTAACGAATTCGCTTTTTGTTATATTTGGTCCTATGTCTTCTTCGTTTGACTCAATTATATTTTCATTATTCATGTCATGTTCTCCTATCAATCCTTTATACAGGTCTTCTATGTACTCTTTCCATCTCGTCGCTATTTCACCTTCATCTAGAATCAGTTGCCCATTCCTATTTTTAACAATTTTGCTTCTTGGCTTCGGTAATCTTGACAATCTTTTAATCATTCCATATGCTTTGTCCATTCTATTTGCTGTCATATTTATTTTAATATTTTTGCATGTTATATCCATCCATTCCTCCTTTTCAACTCTGCACTTTTGGGTAATACGGTTCTTTATTATTCTATTCATCGCATCATCAGTCTTCCTTAGTTTGTTGCGATATTTTATTAAGTCCATTATCTCATTCGCTATCCATGGTTTCCTTGGATTCAGTTTCCTAAATCCAATTGATTCCTCAGCAGATTGCCGAATATTGTTAACCGCTTCTTCCCATGGAGGGCCGATACCAGCAGCTATCACTCTATTATGAACTTTGTTTTGTTTCTTCATGTTTAAGTTTTTCTACGTCCCATATTTTACATTTGGGTCGCTTTGTAACTTTCTTGTGTATTATTTTGTACTTCATCACTACTAGGTTATGATCGCAATCGATTTCCGCGCTAGGAAAACTGTGACTTGTCATTACTTGTTTCTTGAAACGGCTCTTTGCTAATACATAGTCCATTTGGTAACGATTAGTATCTCCTGGTGCTACCCATGTATAACGTCTTATTTTCGGTACTTCAAACATTGTGTTGGTAACTAGAAAATTGTTCTGCTTACAAAAATTGACTAATCTTTCACCTCGGATGTTTCTTCTTCCTAAACCATGTTTGCCTACTATTTGATTGTCTTGTCCTTCTCCTTTTCCTGCGTTGAAATCGCTCATAATAATTACATTATCGCTATCTCGAGTTATTCCTAGCAGTTCATCTAGAGAGTCATACACTTGTTCCATTTCGTCTTCACTATTCGAGGTTGGAAAGTATACCTGGATGACTATCATGTTTACTGTAGATGTCTTCAACTTTATTAGTAATATTGTATCATTCACACGATAGGTATTTTCTACTTGCAGTCCCCATTCTTTGTTTAATAGTATTCCAACTCCGTTTTTCCCTTGTTTGTCTCCACTATTTATCATTCGAAAATCATCACTCCAGAAATCTCCGTTATCACCCCATCTAGTTTTACACACTCCTAAAATATCAAGCTGCTTTAGTTTCATTTGTTGTTTAAGTTCTTCAAATCTTCCTGGTCTTAACAACATTTACGCTCCATGTTCCTATTTTAGTTGGAAAAGTTTTGTTTTTGATTTTATTTTCAATTTTTTGTTTTGGTTTCGGCATGGATTCGCTGGCTGATGAACTGGGAAGCCATGCTCGGTCTCCCCCTGTCGGACTCCGGGTTCCGAATCCCATCGTCTGGTTTATCATTCTTATAGTTGACCTTCATTGCCTAATAATTGGGAATATTAATGCAGTGGTTTCCCGTTGCCTTCTGCATCGCAATGACATCTCTTATTGCTAAAGGATGCTATTCGAGTATAGACAATTCTATACTTAATACTAACAATTTTGCTGCCCATTGCTAGGTCCATTTTTGTCGACTTTTATGACGGGCATGGACTGCCGTGGGTGTATTCTGCCCCCCCCCCCCACAGGGGTAAAATTAATTTACTAATACATTATTGTTTTGTTATGTTTTGCTGACAGTCAAGCAATTTATAAATTAAAACTATAGTTTCTAAAAAAAGTGCACGAGGTATATAGATCTAATTTTCTAAACACTGTCTGACTTGTTAAATATATAAATATTAAATAGTTTATATTTATATTTAGTAGTAGTATAGAGGTTTTTATAATTCAATACACTTGACTTTCAGCAGTGAATACTCAATCTAATAGGGGGAGTAGCGGTAGGGTAAATTGTCAATACAAATTATATGTTGTAAGCAAGTGTTTAATCTGATAATTTGTAAATTTATTTACATTTTGTTTAAACATTTTTTTTTTATTTCAGATGGATTGGAGTATGTAATTGAACAAGTGATTAAAAATGGAAGCAATATTTTAGGTAGTTATAGTTATATAATAATATAATAAACAAAGGTCAAATTAAAAAAAAACACCATTTAATAATTAATTACATTCAACTAAAGTTCATCTTTTTAAAAATGTATAAGTGATATAAATTACACAATTTTCACTTGATTCAAAATTGATATATTATAAAGAAAATAATGGTAGAAGTCAATTTCATCTAATAATTATATTTTATTCTAATCGCCACATCTGCTTCAATTTGGTCATTATATTTTGTATAAAATATAATCGAGCAAAGGAGATTTTTCCCACGGTAATAACACAAATGTTTTTCCAACCACAAAATTCATCTTCTAGTTTATAATAGAATAGAAAATGAAAACCATAATCATTAATTTATGTTATGTTAATTTTAGAAGTGTTGAATTCTATGTTCGTTGTACCTGGTAAAATTTTCAAAAAATATAACATAATTAAATCTATACAGTTATTTAATAATCATTGAGTATGCAACATTTTTTTTTTATTTTCAGACTTTCTTTGGGTTTTTAACTGGAATTGTAACTACAAATTTATATGCCATATTTAGAGTAGCTTACACAAATTAATTTTATACTATACATATTATGGTGGATAATCATAATATTTATACAATATACATACATTTATATATATTGGTTTGAATAAAAAAAAATTAATAATAACAATTAACGTTATGTAAATTTACAGTTTTTATGGATATCCAGGAACGTTTACGAACCTCGATACGACAGCTCCTACGTAAATATAAAATTTAACACCGTTACTTTAACGCTTTATGTTTTTTGAATAAGCTTCTGTAAATCATTTGAAATATAAATTAAACACTATTTGAAACGTTGCTTTTATAAATAGTTTAATATAAATACTAAATTTTGTATTAATTAATCATAGTTTAAGAGTAACTGTATAGTTAATGTATAAAAATTATTTTTATTGACTGTGTAACAAATTGACTATTGATATATTTGTTACAGATATTAATTTCCCTGATGATACAGACCCAAGTAATTACGAATTTTTTGATAATTGTTAATAGCCTTTAAGGCTTGTTTAGAATATAAATTTGTATTTATATCAAAAGTCAAACAATCATTTTAGTAGTACAAACTTTTAGTTAATAATGATTATTTAGAGATGGAGAGAGTGAGACTTCATGAAACTACGATTCGGTTCTTTAAACCTCAATTAAACGAAAATAATGTATTATTTAAATTAAAAAAAATGTTTTGCATTAAGGTTTGTCTAATTGCGAATAATCTATTCACGCAATCCGTTCTTTGGTTAAATATTACAAAGTATAGAGTTCCAAATGTCTGATAAAATATGATTACAAAATGTAGATAAAATAAACATTTAATTAAAATATCAAATACTATTTAGAGCTGCACGTTATTCGAATAAAAATGTTTTGAACTAATCATCGAGTTGAATAATTATTTTAAAGGCATTAACATTAGTCATTAGCCGTTTGCATATGTTTACATGAGATTTAGATATTTACAATAATGGTGTATATGTATTTTTTAGCGTTCAATTAAATTAGTGTTCAGTATAAATTGTATTATTTTGTTTATATTCTGGATGTTGTGAAATAGTGTTTCTTTGATCTTGTTTGGACTTTCATACTGGTTGCGCTTTTATTCGTATTTCTTACATTCTTCGATTATGTGTTTGGTTGTGAGGGGGGCTAGGCAAGTTTTACATTTGGATTTTTCCTCTTTGGTTATTAGGTGCAAGCATGTAAGTTTTAAGTGGCAAATTCGAAGTCTTGTTACGCATACCGACTCTCTTTTCGAGATATGAGGGGTTGCGTTCAATTTTTTTTATGTTTTACATGATTTCAGTTTATTAATTCCTATGTTATCCAATTTATTTTGTCATTTGTTTGCACATAGCTAGTTTGCTAGAGTTTTTGAGTTATTGTATGGAACATTAGAAATCAGTGGTATATGTGGTTTTGTTGATGCTTCTTTTGCTGCTTTGTCAGCTGTTTCATTTTGTGGGATGTTAGTATAAGAGGGTACCCAAAGTAGGATAATTTGAGTTAATTGAGAAAAGATAGGAGATTGTATTTGTTGGATTATTTTTGATTATTTGTTTGATTTGATGTTTTTGATTGTCTCCAAAACACTGAGAGAGTCACTAATGTCGGCTGTTTTGTTAAAGTTCAGTGAGGATGCTAGTTCTGTTACACATAGCTAGGGCCTTCGCTGAAAAAATGTTAATGAAATTGTTCATTTTACTTTGACTTATATTTTCGTTATTAACACTGGCACAATTACACATTTTTGTGAGAGTTGTATTAAAGTGGATATATTTTCTATTGGCGATGAAGTTTGTATCTTGTTGGTTTGGACGAATTGGAGTGGTTTAAGCTGGTATCTTGGACACTTATTACGACAGGGTTGGTTTGTGTTATTATTATTTTTATATTAATGAGTCTTTTGAAATACCTTAGATCGTGGAACCATGATAATGAAACCATTGGATTATAGTCTGTATGGACAGGTTGTGTGTTCAATTGGGTTTAACTTTTTTGATATGTTTGGTTTTTGCAAATTTAAGGCTACGATCTGTTATATATTATATATACATAATCTTTAATTTTTAGTATTTGTTTTGTGTCAATTCAATAGTTGTGTATGATATTAATTGGGTCTGTACATTGTTGGAGATCTTGTATTAGATTTTTTAATTAATTGTAGCTTATTGGTAGGGTTTTTCCTCTTTCAAAGTACTTCGATGCAAGTTTTAATGTATCGTGTATGCTTTGACAGAAGTTTTCTAATGAAGAATTTTTTTTAATTTTTTGGTTTGGTGAAGAATTTTAGGGTATGATGCCATTGGTGTTATATTGGTATTGTATATTGGTTGTATTTATATTTGGTTGGTGACATGATGAATTGATGCTAGATGATGATAGTGGTCTTTTGGATTGTTGGGGTGAAAGAGTTTCTGCTGAAGGATTAATTAGTGTGCTCGTATTTTGGGGTTTTTCTTCAATATCTGGTTTATGACTGAGTAGTGTGTTGATCAAGATCTATGTGGTTGCTGTTTAGTTGATTGGTGTATTTGATTGGGAGAAAGTAGTATTGTAGGGAGTTTCTGAGTTACTTTGGTTTCGTTAGTATATAGATTTATTTAGCGAATTATTTACAGTGAGTAGATGTATGACCTGGTTTTTTACATGTAAAACAAGTAAAAGTGTTGACTAGCGATAACCAGTTTCGGATAGCTATTTTTCAATTAATTGATGTTTCAAGCTTAGGGCAGGAGAAAAGTGGAGTGTATTATTTTTTTTATCTGCGCGCATTTTCCAAACCGCACTTCCCCTCCAATCATAACTTATAAACTCTTATAACTTTCAAAAGTGGGTACCAAAAAAACTAAGTTGGTAGGGGGGGAAAAACAAAAAAAAAATTGTGAAAAATTGAGATCACATTGTATAAAAACAATGTGAAAAAAAAAAAAAATGTCTTATTAAACCCTATGAGATATTGAGTAGGTCACGATAAGTGGATCACCCTGTCTATTTATATGAACACGGTCATTAATTAAATTCACAGATTTTGCATCATTTACTTTGCTTGACATGGCAGTACAAAGAAGATCTGTTACTCTGGAAGCTTTAAAACGAATGTATAACTGGTTAATAAGTAAATATTAAGAAATATTAAGAAATAAAAATAATTAGAAGATAAATAAAGAGTGTAATGTAATCATGATATACTACGATTACAGAACAGTTAGAATGAGCCCAGAATCTTTACCTCAAATTCTTTTTATATTCTATACCAAGACCGCACGTGTGTCATAATACAAAGACAGATTTGTTTCTGTACCCTTTTTTCTAGACTACCTATGATGTATTTCATATCATATGGAACACTGGAGTATCATTTTAGTTACACGATGACGGGTTAAAACAATTATTAATTATTATTCCAACATATACTTTAGAGACATAAATATCTCATATATTACTGTAATTATGTGATTTTTACATGCGAAATTAGTTTTTTTTTACTGTATTCAAATTACAGAACACGCACACAACACTAATCGTATCTGTATATTATAGGCCTTTATTAGATTCTTTTACTAAAATGTAATTTTTTTGTAAAAATATTAATAGAATTATTTAACGATTTAACGTCAATACTTATACTATTTATTATGTATT